GGACCAGGCGGCAGTGGGTCTGGGAACCGGACCGATCATTTTTTTTCTTTTCCTCTCTCGTATCTGTCTCTCCTCATCCTTCCGTCTCCTTTTTTCTCGCCTTGTCTGTCTGTCCTTACCCCCAGGTACACCGCGGCCACCGTGATCGGCTCCCCCGGAGGGCAGAGGGGGGGGTGGGGGGAAGTAGAGCACAGTCTCGGGAGCATCGCCGCCCACCAGGAGGCGGAGGAGCGGTGGGCCGCCCACCAACGATGTCCAGTACCATCGCATGGCACCGCGAGTGAGAGCCTCTCAGCCGGTTGAGGACCAGGCGGCAGTGGGTCTGGGAACCGGACCGATCATTTTTTTTCTTTTCCTCTCTCGTATCTGTCTCTCCTCATCCTTCCGTCTCCTTTTTTCTCGCCTTGTCTGTCTGTCCTTACCCCCAGGTACACCGCGGCCACCGTGATCGGCTCCCCCGGAGGGCAGAGGGGGGGGTGGGGGAAAGTAGAGCACAGTCTCGGGAGCATATTAGACAGCATGATCATTGCACAGGTGTGCCTTAGGCTGGCCACAATAAAAGACCACTCTAAAATGTGCCATTTTACTGTATTGGGGGGTCCGAAAACCAGTCAGTATCTGGTGTGACCACCATTTGCCTCACGCAGTGCAACACATCTCCTTCGCATAGAGTTGATCAGGTTGTTGATTGTGGCCTGTGTAAAAAGATCAGTATAAGTCATTATCATAATCAATAATTATGTCCCCACTGGATGCAACAAATGCCTTGTTTATAATGAGTTTTATTGTTTTTGTCTCGTCGCGCTTCAGGCGCACGCGCATCGCAGGCGCTCGTCGCACACACAGCATCACAATATGGTGAGGGGCGTAACATTTCCGTCACACGCTTGAGGTATTCGGCCAATCACAATGCACTGGATATCTGGCCAATCAGAGCACACCTCGCTTTTCAGACCGATGAGCTTTGTAAAAATCGATGCGTTTCAGAAAGGTGGTGCATAGAGGAAAAACAATAATGTACATTATGTGGAAAATAAAATTTAGATCAACTTTGAATAAAGAAAAGAGAGATTCAGAGGCAGATTTTTGTTTACGTATGTGAGAAATTTAGCTAGCAGGAAACACAAATTAAGTTATATTTTCCTGTATTCTCTTTCGAGTAGTCAAACAATCCAAAGAAAACATCTTTAAAACAGAAAGAAAAACAAAGTGACTGTAAAATATGTATTTTAGGTGTATGGAAATGACATTTTGCGTTTTTATATTTGGGATATGGCCACTGCCCTATTTTGGGCTGTTTTTGATTGGCCATTGGATTAGTTTTGTCATGCAGACCTGGCAACCCTGGCTGTATGGAGCAGAGCAGACGCTTTCAGTTTAGAATTGTAGCATATACAGTACATTGAAAGCGTTGTTAAAGGGCAAAATGGTGATAGTTCCCAGCAGCTAAATGAACACACCGTCCTCCTCCACACAATGGACGACAGAATAGCACACTATATGAAAACTGTCCCATGGTTTCTAATGCAGCAGGTATCATCATCATCATCTCCGGCACCAAAGGTAAAGCTCATTTTAGTTTTAGATTCCCTCCCTGCAGGTATCGAGTCACCATCTGTGGTTTCCCCAACCTTCATTCTCTCTCCGTCCTTGGAGTCCCACAGCAGCAGCACAGCGTCTGTCCTCCGGCTATGATCTGTCTGGCTGTGATGTGGTCACAATGTGCCGTCTCTCACCATCCATTCTACAACTTTTCTTAGGTGGAATCTCACGAAACCCGTCAAAAACATTTTCAGGTCATATTTCTAGATTAAATATTTTACTTAAAGCCTATTTAAGGACCAAGATCTTGTGAATTCTTTTGCACGTAATGATAATTAAAGCTACACTAAACTATTGTTCGAAATGAACAATACATCATAAAACCATCTTCCAACCCTTATGTCACTAACGTAAGTATTTAATTATTATTTACATTTTAGAGATGTCGGGAAGGATTTCCTGGGAAACTGCATACTTTTATCACTCTTCTGAGTGAATTTACTTCATGCACAAATAAACGAAAGATATTATGTAAACGCTCTGAGGAGTGATAAAAGTATGCAATTTCGCAGTAAATCCATCCGGCAACTCTAAAATATAGATAATTATAGGCTAACCATAGTGATATAAGGGTTTGGAAGATGCATGGTTTTATGATGTACTTGCTTATTTAAATTGCTAATTTACATACAAGTTATATAGTGTAACTTTGTCATTACGTCATAAAACACGAATCAACATAGTTTGAATAGTATCACATTTACATGTCTATAATATTGGTAACGACCTCTAAACCAGTTACTGCTTTGGTCTGTTTGCCTATAAATAGCCTTGCCAGGTTATAGTTTCCAACTTTATCTGATATATATGACTGGTATAGTCACTATGTCTACTGTCAGATTCATCCACGCAGAATACAGGAGCCGAAGCACGACTGACCAATATTCATCCGCAAGTAACTTGTATTTTTATGCTTAAACCACTAGAGGGCCAAAAGTTACAGTGCCGATTTAAACACAATTTACTCGTGAAATACCATAATGAAAAAAAAATAAAAATAAAAACACAAAGCAAAATTTATTCTCATTACTGTAATGTGAACAAAACAATGACACATTATTTAAAGATGCAGTGCAAAAATAATAAACATGCCCCCTGCCTGCCATTGGTCAGCCAAACAGATAGCTACTCCCGCTCAAACGCTAGATGATGACAAGTTTGGATGTTCAAACAAACATGAACAAATAAAACATCTAGCAGCATCACATTAATGAGAATTTGAAGAGGAAATGTGCAAAAGTATAACATATTTTTGTCTTTTGAATTCTGGGGTGAAATTCACCTAGAAATCAGACTGGTGCAAAAGGCTGGTTTGTAAATTTGATAAAAAGTGATCATTTGGAAGATCAGTTTATATATATATTGAACATTTATTTTTGTACTCATTTGTGGACAGAATATAACCTAAACATAAAAATGTTTAATAGTTCTAGAAAAAAAAGCTCTAGAACTATTATATTTGCAAAATAAATTTTTTTTGTGTCTTTTGATTTTAGGCCCGAAATATAACCTTGGCATGTTTTTGTGAGATTCACCTAGAAACCATCAGGAAGTTTCATATCAGACTGGAGCAAAAGTCGATTTATTCATTTTATAAATATGATAAAGGTGATCATTTGAAAGATTAGCGTCAAGTGCAAACTGAACATTTAATTTTGTGCAAATTTGTGGACACAGTAGTAGGCCTACAACCTAAATGTTGCTCTGGATTGTGTATATTGCGTGTGCTTCATTTATGGCAGCCCTCTGCGTTTAAAAGCATCTTCCCGTGAGCGATAGATTCATTATCACATCATGCAAAAATGATTAACGCAGCAACGCTTCAACGACTCACGATTCACGAGAGCCAAGAGTCAACTCAAGCCTTCTGGTGTTGACCAGGCCTGCCAGTCCCACTTATCGTCCCCGAGAGCATGTGCTTGCAGAGATCTCCTGGTTTAGTCCCGGTGCGCGTGTGAACATCTGTCTTATAAAGCTCTTAAAGCGGAGCCTGTGATTTCACTCCCTCCTGACCGCCGGTGTGCTCCTGTGAGCTGGAAAATAGCTGAAGGTCAGCGTGTCCTCCACCCTCATAATGATGAGGGTCAGTCCAAGAGTCAACTCAAGCCTTCTGGTGTTGACCAGGCCTGCCAGTCCCACTTATCGTCCCCGAGAGCATGTGCTTGCAGAGATCTCCTGGTTTAGTCCCGGTGCGCGTGTGAACATCTGTCTTATAAAGCTCTTAAAGCGGAGCCTGTGATTTCACTCCCTCCTGACCGCCGGTGTGCTCCTGTGAGCTGGAAAATAGCTGAAGGTCAGCGTGTCCTCCACACATCAGCGTTAATGATGAGGGTCAGTAACAGGGTCCAGATGATGCTTCAGATGACGGACGGGTTGTGAGGTCTAGAAAATGAAACCGCATAATTAATTATTCTCATTATTAGCTGACAAAAAAAGATCCTCTTTAAGAATTAGATATTTTTTAATGATTTTGGAAGAAGTCTTATCTGCTTAGCAAGGCTGCATTTATTTGATCAAAAATACAGTAAAATACAAAAATATTTTTACTATTTAAAATAAGTTTTTTTTATGTGAATATATTGTAAAATGTTATTTATTTCTGTGATCAAAGCTGAATTTTCAGCATCATTACTCCAGTCTTCAGTGTCACATGATCTTCAGAAATCATTCTAATATGCTGATTTGCTGCTCAAGCCACATTTCTGATTATTATCAATGTTGAAAACAGATGTACTGCCCGGTATTTTTTGTGAAAATTGTGATACATTAGTTTTTCAGGATTCTTTGTTGAATAAAGTCAATTTAATGCATATTTCCTGGATAAAAGTACTATTTTCTTTAATAAATTGATCAATAAAAATAAATAATAAATGAATGAATCGATCAAAATTATACATATTGTTGTGCGTCTGCTCAAGAAACATTTCAGATTATTATTAATGTTGAAAACATGTGGAAACTGTGATACATTTTATTTTTCAGAATTCTTCAATGAATATAAATTTTTTACTTTTTATTGCATGTGTGGAAGAAAAGTACTATTTTCTTTAATAAATAAATTAAAAAAGAAAACAAAACTAAATAAAGAAAAATTACATAAAAATTAAATACATAAATAAACCAAATCTAATAAATAAATAAACATTTTAAAAAACAAAAAGAAAAAATACAATAAAACATTATTTTAATAGTATGTTTTACTTTAATAATATTTGTATTGTTTGCTGAATGAAAGTACCGTCTTCTTTAATAAACATATGAAATAAAGAAATAAATACAAATTAAATATATAAATAAACAAACAAAAAACAAAAAAATTTAAATAGAAATTTAAATTTTAAAATAATCAAATATAAAACAACCCAAAACACCTCATCATCATTGTACGTTGTACAGGTTAGCATCACACAGTAAAATAAATGTAGTTTGGCTTATTTTGCTGAAATAGAAGCTTTTGGAAGTGATTTGGAGAGTTTGGTTTCTCTCATTCGGAATCAGCAGATAAACATGCTTGACTGTTCAGTGGACCACGATGACCTCTGAGTGAACCCGCCTGCCTTAAAAAGAGACTTCAGCATAATCCTGGAACCAAATGTAATATATATATATGAAGAGTTTCTGTTAATGCACCATATTACTTACAGTATAATCTCTTCATATAATGTGTTTAGGAAACTGAAACAGGCTGCATCTCACCTCCAGAGACAGAAGGCTGTGTGAATCTCATCTCTCCGCTCGAATCCCCCTGTAGTTTATTCTCCAGCGGCTCTCACATCCATCAGCTGCATCGATCGATGGAGCAGCCCACAGGTGACGTTCCCACAGTCAAGGTGAGCTAAAGGCCATTTGGGTTTTTGTTGTGAGATCAAACTGAACGAATGACTTAATGCTGACAGAAGAACCGTCAAAACAAAAGCTGCTTCACTTTACAGCCAGAAAGGTATCAAAGCGCTCCAGCGTCTGAATCAATACAGCAGGATTCCGATTCAAACGGCATACTAGCTACTATTTTTAAAAGAAAGCAGTATGCATACTGAATTTTCTGTATGCATGAAATAATCAGGTCGTCTACGACATTTGCCAAAATGAACAGAGCACACTGCATGAGATACTGCATCCAATGCAAGGCAAATGTTTGACCTTGAAAGCAAATGTGATTTTTAATGTAGTTTTGATTCATTATTTGACTGTACTGACATATGTTAAGGCATATTGCATATTTATTTATGCATATGCATTTATGAAAATGCACATTTATTTATGCATTTTGAATTGTACAGAAATGATCATTCATATCCAAGATGACTGGAAGCCACACAATGCATTGCACAATGCAACATAAAACATGAGGTCCTGAATCAACCATGTAGCATACTACTATTTTGTATGTTTATTATTGAACTTTTTTAAATTAATAGAAATGAAACGTTTAAAATGCTTGTTTTTTTCACATTGTATCATTTTCATCTCATTTGCAATATCTCATTTCTGAAGAAATGAAATATCAGTCGAACTTTCTACTTCGAGGACCTGGATAGAAATGTAGTGGAGTGAAAAGTACGATATTTGTCTTTCAAATGTAGTGAAGTTAAAGTCATAAGTTTGCAGAAAAAAAATATAATGCGTAAGCAAAGCACAGATAATTAAAAAGTGTACAGAAGTACAATACTCAAGTAAACGCACTTTGTTACCGTCCACCTCTATATAATCAAAAGTCAGAAAATACTGTTGGTATAAAATAAATAAATGCAATTGGACAAAATAGCAAAATTCATATCCAAGATGACTTGATTCCACAGGTCATGTGGCAACAATGTTATTACGGTTTGAAAAGTTTAATATAATAAAAATTAAGTATAACAATAAACATGTTTTTTTTAAAGTATGAGTATGCAGTGTGCTATTTTTAAAACTGTTTTTAGCCATATTTGACTGTGATTTTGAGCTTATTATCATAACTCAACTTTTGCGGTCCAATCAAATACTAAGAAACTTTTACACAAAATCTGGAATATAAATACAAAAGAATCTAATATATTGCCCATTCATCTCTGGGATGAGAAGTGAATGTCACCGGCTTAATTAAACATGCAATGTAATGAGGTCTTGTGAGGACAATGCAGCATTATTGATTTTTTTATGCAGAATGTTTCACCTGATATTCTAAATGTCTTTATAGATTTATAAGATCACATTGAGATGATGGCGAGAGTGAACATGAGGTCAGGGATATATTCTCTCGGTCCACAAATGTCTTATTCAGAGATTTTTCCCAAAGAGGCGCTCGGCTCTCTGTCTGCTTTCAGAAATCAGTCGTCAGGCTCATCGTTTGTGACGTGACGCGTTTTATTCCAGAACGATGGATTCTACATCAGCTGAAAGCACATTTAGTGTCCTCTGCTTAAAACAATCTAATACTGTCATGGAGTTCATGATTCATAATGATCTGCCATCACTGAGGCTATATAGTGTTGCTATATATTATATATAAAATAATAAAATGAATAATCTCTCTCTCACACACACATACATATATATATATTAATTGGTAAATCAATCAATCAATCCATTTCATTAAATTCATTTTGTCATTTTGAAATAACTATAATTAACAGTATGTCTGTTTTGCCTGTGCAATAGAAAGCTGATCTTCCCATTGGAACATATCTGAGATTTTCTTCCCTCACAACAAACAGCAATAATCGCATCAATCAGTTATCAGTCATGCTGAAGCTCTCGGCATCTTCACTGCCTCTCTCTCACACACACACACACACACACACACACACACACACACACGACAGCATTGCCAAGTCCATATAGCGCAGTAAAACACAGCACTGATCCATACAAGCATCTGCAGTCACGTCCTCTGACACACAGCACTATAAGCTCCAGCCTCGCTCAGCGTCACTCGTGATTTAAACTGACCTGCTGTGAAAACACACGAGCCCTGCAGCCACACATGATACTGACCTCATTATACAGAGTCTATAGGTTTCTCATAAACATTTCAGATGGACTGAAACGTCAGAAGGCCTTTGATAGCAAGCTTTCAACGGCTGGAACTATAATACAGTTTAATGATCGCAAAGGATGCATAGCCTACTTTAAATAGTAAAAATCACATTTATTTTACATTATATTTAGTGTGCCTTAATGTGCATTAAAATTGACAAGGCTGCTGTTTGATTTTAGAAACATTTCAGTCAAGCCTCGTTCTTATAAATAGCCAAATATTACTGTTTATTTAGGCCTACATGGGTTTGAATCTCTTACAAATGGAGAAAAACTAGGCTAACTGGGTTCATATTTTCCATAGAATCAAATATAATTTTTTTCATTTGGACATTTTTCTCATTCTAACATTAGTGATAAAGTCCAAATTTCTGCTAGAATCGGAAAAAAAATAAAATAAAAAATTGAATGAGCTCTTACTTGTTTTCCCTCCATTTTGGATGAGTTCCAATGATGTCACTTCCTGTGTGTCACAGGCGGAGTGTTCCATCTTTTATAGGCGGCATCACATGCTAACAGGGCTACACGCAAAATAGCCTAAGTAAAAAGTTATACAGATAAGTAAAAAGTAAAAGATAAGTAAAGTTATTTAGAGATAAAAAGTAAAACGTTATATAGGTTTGTGAAGGATTTTTTGTGTGTGCATAATTTAACTAATAACTATATTTGATATAAAATTATGTACATTATTATATAAAACATGAATTTTTTCATGAATTGTTTCTCATAATTGTTAAACCGTTATTATATTGCACAAAAATAGGTTGTTTTAGGCAAGGTTGCATTATAGCGACATGTACAATTCTGTTCAAAACTTTGGGGTCAGTAAGATTTTATTAATTTACTTTATTTTTTAATACTGCAAGGACACATTAAACTGATCAAAAGCGGCAGTAAAGACATCTATGATGTTAAGATTTCTATTTCAAATAAATGCTGTTTGTCAAATAAATGAAGCAGCACAACTGTTTTCATTATTGATAATATCAGTAAATCAGCATATTAAAATGATTTCTGAAGGATCATGTGACACCGAAGACTGCAGTAATTACGCTGAAAATTCATCACAGAAATAAATTACACTTTACAATATATTCACATATATTTTAAATTATAATAATATTTCACATTATTACTGTTTTACTGTATTTTAATCAAATAAATGCAGCCCTGGTGAGCAGAAGAGACTTATTGAAAAAAAATCTTACAGACCCCAAACTTTTGTATGTATTAGCCTATATAGTATATACAGAAATAGAGGCACTGAGAGATAAGTAATAATTGATTAATGTATCTGTTTTATTCATTTCACTGCAGGAAGCAGCAATGATGAGTCTCTCTCCCGTTCCACAGGAACTCAGAGACGTGAAGGTAAGCGGAGGTAAACGGTAAAGGAACGAAGCCGCTGGTGAAACAATGGCAGCCTGTCACAGCTCATCCAGCCCTAAACTGTGTGTGTGTGTGTCTGAGTGTGTCTGTGTCTGTGTGTGTGTCTGTGTCTGTGTCTGTGTGTGTGTGTGTGTGTGTGTGTGTGTGTGTGTGTGTGTCTGTGTGTGTGTCTGTGTCTGTGTCTGTGTGTGTGTGTGTGTGTGTGTGTGTGTGTGTGTGTGTGTGTGGGGCGCGGCTCCCACCGGCATTGTGCTCATAATTAAGTGTGATTTCCACTGGCAGAATGACGGAATAAGAATGAGGGGAAAGCATTTCTGCTCTGTGGTTCATCACTCGTCTCATCTCACACACGCTGAAGGCTGCTTAAGACCTTCTGAACACTCATTAAGTCCTCACACAATTTCTCTTCAAATTACATGGTCATTTCAGTGTGTTTTCCCTTCAAATGTTTCCTTGTGTTCAATCACAATCAGGGCCTGTCAAGCCCCGAAAAGATTTGATTTACAAATTTAACATTCGCTTAGAAACTAGACTAGTTCAATTTACTCCGGATATCTGACAGATGAGAAAAATAAATCGAATTGATCTAGATTTATCTGGTCCCCAAGTTTAAAGGTCTTTAAATGTCATTCCTGAGACGCAGTGTTGTTACTAAAACTTTACAAAAACTGAAATAAAGAAACTGAAACTGTTAACTGAAAAAAAAAATGTATATTAGAGATGTTACATTGGTAACTAGGCCTACCTGAAATAAAATAAGTACTTCAGTTACTAAAACTGATATAAAAATGTAAGCTAAATAGAAATATTAAATAATACTAAAAATGACAAAAGCACATGAAAATAACTAAAATGTAAATAAAAGCAAAATCTAAAATATTAATTAAAGATAGTATATAAATAATGGTAAAATAACAATGCTGAGCAGGGCTGCGTTCAGCCCCTACAAAAACGGTGCAAAACGTTTTTTAAACGGAAACGGTGGTGCGTTGAACACCCTGTTCTGATGACGCAAGAGTTGCAACTATGGCAGCTGAGAAGACCATTCTTTGTGTTCTTTTTGAAGAATTTTCAGAGCCTGATGAAATCGGTATAAATACGTGTTTAATACTGCAAAATATGCTCGATGTTACAGTCATTGCCCTTGCCCTCCAGAATAAAAGAGAACATCCCAATCGAGTGAAGGGATTTGTGGAAACTGTGGTTCATAATTATTGTGATCCAACATTTGCCTCGCATTTCAGGATGAAAAGACAAACATTTCAGATGAAGGACAATCCACTTCTTACCTCCGAGACTGTGTTATGATCTATATGACCGTATTATTTTTATTGTGAGTATTAGGCTTATCATTATTGCTGATCACTGTTGTTGTGCT